CGGCCCTAGGGTTAACATTTTTTAAAATCAACTTTTTTACTTGGTTCAGATTGACTGCTTTCTGCTTGTCTGATTTTTTTGTTTTTCCCTCTTTAGGAAGCTATTTTGCCAGCCACTTCATTATGGGAGGAGAGAAGTTTGATTCAACCCATCCTGAAGGTTACCTGTTTGGAGAAAACAGCGATCTGAACTTTCTGGGGAACAGGCCAGTTATGGTACGGCTGTAATCAGTTTACTTCCATGTGGGGCTTAAGTGGCCAATTCAAACAGTCATAAAAAATAAGTTTGCAGTGCCTGGTTCAGCAGAATTTGTAGTTTGGTATGAGTCGAGAGGAGCCTTAGGAGCCAGACCACAGCCTTTTTGGTCGTGCTGGGTCTCTTGGCACTAGAGAAAGGCTACTGGATGGAGTCTGTGGCAGGGTGAGGATGAGTCTCACAAAATTAAGCTTCTGAGGATTCAGATCTCTGCCTGAATGCCACCTCTTCAGACAGCCCGGTCCAACCATGCCAGCTTGCCTTCACCTTGCTTTTATTTTTTTCTTCTTCATAGCACTTAACACCAAAGTCTTATTTGTTTGTCTTGTTCTCTGTTTTTTACCTGCCTTCCTCTTTAGGATGTATTGTTGCTGTTGTTTCCCAGACCTAGAAGAAAGCCTAGCACATAATGATAGGCCTTTAATAAATATTTGCTGAATGAATGACTGAAAAAGTTTCCCTGGATGTCTGAGTTGACATTAGAGTACGTCCCTCTCAGTTATTTGCTGAGCTCATTCCATAAAGTTGTTTTTTTTTTTTTTAAAGACGATCGGTAAGGGGATCTTAACCCTTGAGTTGGTGTTGTCAGCACCACGCTCACCCAGTGAGCTAAAAAGACGACCGGTAAGGGGATCTTAACCCTTGAGTTGGTGTTGTCAGCACCACGCTCACCCAGTGAGCTAACCGGCCATCCCTATATAGGGATCTGAACCCGTGGCCTTGGTGTTATCAGCACCACACTCTCCTGAGTGAGCCACGGGCCGGCCCCTCATTCCATAGAGTTTTAAGTACCTTCTCTGCGCCCAGCATGAGGCTTTGCAGTAATAGGTGCCTGGTGGCTATTGAGTGGCTACTGCACGCTGAGGATGACTTTTCAGACGTCGTTCCCACTCCTTATGAAGACCCACCTGACAGAAGACTTATTATTTTTTCCATTTTATGAGTGAGAGAACTGAGGTTCTGAGAGATGAATAATGATGGTACGTAGAAGTTATGAAGTTGTACACTGTTTTAAGCATTTTATACAAATGTTTCTCAAAATCACATAACTGGGTTTGTCTGGCCACAGATCGAGAATCTTTCCACTGCTTCTCACTGCCTCCGGTATGCTGCCTTTCTCAAGAAACTCCGATTATGGGGGGCAGACAAAACATATAAGCAGGAAATGTTTAAATAACAGTGAAGATGTGAAGTGGTTGAATTCTGTAGGAATTCAGTTGAGTGGGAGAAGAGAATGGCAAGGGCAGATTGATTTGGTGCTGTGTTGAGAAGAGGTGGAGGGAGTAGAGGGGGACTTTGAGGAGGTGGGTGAGGAGGGGGCTTCCCAGGAGACAGGCCTAAAACCATTCATGTTGTTGAATGAGCAAACGTTTATGAGCAACACCCGTGTGCCAGGTGCTGCGATAGGCGCTGGGGATGATACAGAGCTGAAATTAGTATGGTTTGCTCTCCTCAGGAACAAGCAAGGAAACCAGTCTGGCCTGATGATGGCCAAATAAGATTGGAAAGGTAGGTGGGGTCTCCATTACCTTGAGAGGTTTTTGACTATCTCCTATAGGCTACCAGGAATATTTAAGATTTTTAGGCAGTGGGCCGGCCCTTGGCTCACTCGGGAGAGTGTGGTGCTGATAACACCAAGGCCACAGGTTCGGATCCCATATAGGGATGGCCGGTTCGCTCACTGGGAGAGTGTGGTCCTGACAACACCAAGTCAAGGGTTAAGATCCCCTTACCGGTCATCTTTTTTTTTTTTTTTTT